GAAAGGTTCAATTTTGTTACCCATCTCTGGTTAAAGGTCTTCTATCCACAGCAAGTTGGTCATTATGTAAACCAAAGCTGCATGGCTTTAGGTGCTGCAGATTCATGTTTATAGTAGAAGTTCACAATGTTACAGCAGATATTTAAGACTACCACAGGTGCATATACTCAGTATCCCTTTCATCAAGAGCAAAACCGAATGCATAAGCACCACAAACATCCTTCAAAATTATAAAATGTAACTCAACACCCCTCTTAAGAATGACTTGTAATATATTTAACATTAGTTGGGATACATTTACCTGAACAACTGGCAACTAAGTGTATTGTGTAAATGAGAACTCTTCCGTAGGTTTCGCACAAGAGAGATTACTGACTTTATTTGCCAAGAAATTGAGACAAACTTGAGGAGAAGGTCAGAGGGGCACTGTCATTTAACCTGGGTAAAGGCTGTTAGACAGATCGTGGTTAACTGAGCAATGACAAACCAAAGACATATGTTGTGTGGATGCAGAGACCTCACAATTAGGTGGTTATTTTACAACCACTCCTTATCCAACAAACTCTAATCTCTGTTCAAATTAGAAGTTTCACATTAGTGTCCCTACAGGCCATGAGCAAATCACAAGCACTTCTTCTCACACCGAGCCTGACAGTGAATAATCGAAGCATGCCGCTTTCTCTGGAGTCTGCTGAAACCACTGTGCAACATACACCACCTCCAGAAAGACAACAACCAGAGGCCTGTACGACGAGGCCGGTTCAACATAACCTGGATATGTTTGAGTTACCTGGCTTACCTAATCCAAAACAAACGCGCTCTCGCTAAACGGTCCTACGACGCTGGTTATGAACTCGTTAACTCAAGCCAGCTTAGCCCTATCTAGTTAGGTGCGTTCACATGAAAGAGGTGGTATTTGGAGCATTCTACCAATCACAAACATGGACAAGCGTACTGACAGCACAGCGCATCATACTTCCTGAATGAAAAGTCAACTATAATATTAGACAAATATGAAGACATTAAACTTTAAACATCCATGACTTAAACACTTTATCCAGGATAAAAGCCACATAGCCTGCAAGGTGAATACAGCTGCTAACAGAAAAAGTGTTTGAATGCGTACATTAACAGGTTTATGATATGCCCCGTCTAAGACACGAGTGGATTTGACTTTAATTACATTTGACTCGAGTGTTTCGTCAACTTAATGTGTTGCTTAAAATAATACTTCTGCATACAGTATGTGAAACTGTAACGGCCCGTGCACACGGCGGCGTGCGTTGAAGCTTCAACGCTTCTGCCCATTCACTTTGAATGGGGTGACGTCACGCTTTGCCGAACTGCATTGATTCCCTTTGCTCGCGTTGCTCGCTTCAAAAGTTGAGCAAAGTTCAACTTTTGAAGCTTTGACGGAAGCGTCAGCCAATCAAATCATATGCCAGTACAAGCTCTAGCCAATCAAACTGCGTGCTTGTGTGTCCGGGGCGGGAGATTCATGTGATTGGTTGTTGGTCGAGTTTCAGACAAGCTCACAGGCAAGCTTCAACGCACGCCAACGTGTGGACGCTGCGTAAGTGTTGCACGACCAGATACGGCTCAAGAAGCTGACTCAGATAAGGAAATATATGATACATTATGATGTACTCACAGTGCCGTGGACTGTACGTAATGCTACTTTGATCCGGTTACTTGTGTTGTGACAGATAGTTAAGTAAGCTTTCTTAACGCTAATGTTATATTAGTCAGATTGCTCTGAAGATGGGAGGTGATATTCTATTTATTTTCACGTTTACAGTCAGTTGAATTTTGCCGACCGTCTTTCCTGCAACGGCAGTTTTTTAGTATTTCCTTTCTCCTGTAATATGACTTGATAGCTTTAAACTCCGCACACTGAGCTCTGATTGGTCAGCAGGCGGTGCTTTCAATGAGTTGATCTCTTATCCTGGAACCAAACCTGCCCCGGAGCAGGTTAGCCGTTCATCATTTGTTACCATGGAGATCTAGCCCTATAAGAAGTGAACCAGCGTCGTAGGACCGGAAACCCAGAGTTTTCCCTTTAGTTAGATCGCTAAGCGAAAATTCGGCTTCGTAGTAGAGGCCTCTGGAGCTGACCAGTCTCAAAGCATAAAACAAACCAGCCTGCCAAGTGGTCATTCACATAGGTACTCATGCTATTTTTTGCAGCTCCACTTTTCATTGAGAAACAAGGAAATGTTAGCTCTGTATTCCTCTGCTGCAAGTGGTGTAAAGTAACTAAGTAGATGTACTCAAGTACTGTACTTAATACAATTTGGGCAGACTTGTACTTTACAATGTTTTGCCAATTTGTAACTACCCCACTACAATCCAGAGGAAAATCGTGTACTTTTACTCCACTATATTTATTTAGTACCTTTGTTACTTTGCAGATTTTGTTAAATGATGTGAAATATAATCAACACTTAAATTAAACTTGAGTTACACCTGGAGTCAATCCACAACCCAACCTAACCTGCAGTATACAAAGTAGTTCAAATTAATAAAGTATTTTTATGTCAATACTTGTGTACTATTTGTATTTGCAATACAGGCCTTTTATTTATAACAGTATTCCTAGACTGTGGTATTTCTACTTTAGTACAAAATATGAGTACTTCTTCCACCTCAGTCAGCTACAGCTTGAGATCAGAACACCCGGAAATCCATAACACTGCCTTTCCTCAAAGCGAAACGCACACGGCTTGTAAAGCTACAAGTTATAACTTAGCACACCAAAGCATGCACGGTGTTCCACAGTCTAACTGGGTTAATCATTATTCAATACCGGGAATCAATCCACCGCATACCGGGCACAGACAGGGGTGTGACAATACGAGCAGGCAACCTGCAGCTAGCAGCAGATAACGTGAGGTGTCTCAGACTAAACATTTCCCTCCTGACAGACATGACACATACAAATGTAAAAGTATACTTAATAAAAGGTTTCTTCACGGTTACCGGGGTTTCCTTTTCATGCATCTGCGCCCCCTTACCCAGTCTCAGGACCTGTTATGAAGGGTTCAATGCCCATGTCTACCAACAATAACACGGCCTCCCGAAACAAGCTCGAACCGGTAACCAAACACGGGCTCTATACAATGCTTTCAACGTCGGCATTGGTGCCCTAACATCCCCGTGTTGTTTTTAATAGACACCCGGGGATGTCTACCTGTCTGCCGAGCCTGCGTCCCCCGTGACGCGGATGCTAACAAAGGCCCGAGAGCTGCTGTCTGGAGCGGAAGACCGACACAACGGGAGGAAGGAGGCAGGCAGCAGAAAGAGAGGCAGCCGCTATTCCCGCACCAAATACTACTTTTTACCCCCTCCCTGAACCACCATTGCAACAATACCGGCACCGATGCGTGGATAAGTAATCCCCCTATGTATCGCGACCGGGTAACAGGGGGTACTCACCGGCGGAGAGGAAGGATGGACGCGGATTTCGGCCCCAGTGTCTCTCTTACACCCCAGGCTTTCACTCCGACAACATGGCGGCTCAACGGAGGAGCAGGCGAGAGCGCTGCATGACGGGAAGGGATGAGAGAGAGCGTGCGGTTCATTGCGCCAACCGGGAGGGGAGGGAGGGCCATACCGGGACCGGTCCTTTGTTATGTTCTGTGTTTATTTTGCATTTTGGTTTTACTCCATTCATATTTGTATCAATACACAAAAAAAGAGCATTTGCCACACAGTCGTCTGTGTGATTGGTCACTAAAATGAACTACAAAAATAACAAAAACATGTTATTATATATTACCATAGTGTTTTAGTGGTTCTTACGGTAAATAGAAATGCTAATATCCACTTTTACATGTGGATATTATGTGATTTTATTATCGGGGGTTGGACTGTACGCCTACACAGTGTACCGGGGTCTCTACGGTAACGGGGAGCTTGGCAGCCATGGCAACGTGCTGCGCCACACGGTCAGCAGCAGTGAGAGGCTGCAGGATGCTCTGCTGCACCTGCGGAATGTGAGAGGATGGTGTGTGGCCTAAATAACAACAAAATACCCTTTTTGGGGTCTTTGGTAAGGTGCCACTAACAACCCAGAGTCTGCAGACTGGGGTAAATAAAACTGCCCTAAACCGGTAAGTGGGTTACGTAATGCAAAAAGATGATAGCAGCCCAGTAAAAAAAGAATCTATGGTAATCATATGGAAATATTAAGGGTAGGCTGATGAAAAATACTTATGTGGTCCAGTCATACTGGATTGAATAGCCTGAAGTGTAGTTTGACGATAAAGTTAAAGTTATAAAGTACATTTGAGCCTACTTACATAGAAGTGGATCCAGGATAAATATGTTGTCTTGCACCTCACAACAACAAAATACACAGGCTCATTGTTTTAGTTTTATGTGGTGGTTGATTTGTTTTGTTTATTAAATAAAAAATAGTTTAAACAAATTAAACTTGAATTACCACAGTCATCTGTAAAGTACTTACTGTAAAGGATTGCACTTTGTATAGCTACAGGGCCTTGTATAATCATAAAACCAAGAAGACAACAATACAATAATGATCTTTCTTTGAAATGATTAGGAACACAAAATCTAAATTTCTAGCATTTCATTATTACCATTTAAGAGGAACTTAAATGAAAGAGCTACGGTGAGCTCACTTTTTATCACTGCAAGAATAAACTAAATCCATTTATGATATCAAAGTGCTATTTTCTAATGTGGGTCTTATAGGTTTATGTTACACTGTGCTGCAAAACCAATTTCCCTTAGGGCCTATGTGGACAAATTAAGATGAAAGTTTTTTTTAAGTCGAAAAAAACGCATCAATATATTTACAACATATGAAAATCCTCATTATACAATTTCAGTTTATAGCAGTTTTTTATAAATAATCTTCCAAACTAATCCGGCAAAAATGCCATTCTGTGCACCTTAATCCAAATATTAAAATAATGTAATCAAAATTAGGAATAAAAGCACTCATTTGAATGTGTGTCTACAGATGACAAGTCATATTTAACGTAGAAAGTGTATTTTTATTATTTCAAACTTCTCCCTACACCAAATAAGGTCTTCACCTCATACCTGTCCCCATGTTCTCCTTTGTGCGTTCAATTAAAATTACAATAACACTTCACCATGACTTTATGTTTCTCTCTGGTCTTGGACTTTCTTCTGTGGAAATCAGTGAATGAGATGCAGAGGTGAATGTAGTTTTTGAAAAAGATTGAGAGAATTTGCTGCAGTTGGGTTCAAAGAGCAACTGACGTTGACGTTATCAAAAAAGGGGGAACAAGAGAAACAGGTATGAAGACAAAACTTTTATGTGTACCAATCTTCCCCAAGACCTACCCGCCCCCTAATGCAACCCCCCCTTTCTAAATGTAACCAACAAAACAATCATTGGCTGGTTATTTACATGCACAGTATCCCCACTGCTCCCCCCCCAAATAGACACACTAATGCCTGATCCCAAAGCCATCTGCATCCCTTAGCTTCAGCATTACATGTACAGTAGGCTGAGTGTATTTTCCGGAAAACTAAATATCCTGGCAAAGGACATTTGACTGGATTTTTTCCTGAACTTTAAAGTATAAGTCTGGTGATATTCTGTGTTTATCTCATTGTCAACCAATCGCATTAAAACACCAAAACCAACCATGAAATTATCCCATTGACTAGAAGTCAGAGCCTGATATATCTCATTCCTCTGTGATCCATTATTGTAACATAACTTTAAAAAAAGAATATTTAAAATTACATCAATGAGCCACACTCAGTGATATGTTCCTTCATTCTGATGAATCTAGGCACTGTAGTTTATTTTTTAAATGATCCCACAAACTGAGTCCTGCTGCTGTAAATACTCAGCAGTACAGCACACTCGCAGCTGTAAATAGTACAACAAATGCGTGCTTAAATCGGGATCCACGATATTATGACTTCACGATAATAATAATAATAATAACTTGATAACAATATTATGGCTATATCCAACAAACAAACAAATAATAGTGTCTATGACTTTGTTTATTGTGCGTTTTCTCTTTTTTGGCGAATAAATTACTTCCTTAAAAAAGGAAGACGGAGAAAGTTTGTGCATACAAAAACGATATAACTAGTACACTAATAAATAGCTAAAAGGCAACCAGATTAATTGATAAATAAAAAAATCAACAACGCTCCAACACTTCCTTCAAGAACAAGAGCTTGGTCCCAAGAGCCACAAGCTGAGAACGTTTTAAAAGTTTTGAGAGAGTGATGAACAGATCTGTTGGTTTTGGTCAATAATAAAATGTATGAAATATCACCAGCCTGATCCTTTAAGCAGTCTATCCTCTCGGCTCCACCTGCTCTGTTTCACTTCCGCAGCAGACCAGGTGGGTAATGTTCAAATCTTGAGTGTTATCAGTGGTTTTAACAACACAGGAGGTAAAGATGGCTTTGGGAATGGGAATCGTAAGACTGCTCTAGTTCGACATCACCACGTTCTAATACGACAACAGGTACGAGCCGTGCCTCTTTTTATTATGTGACCCCACCCACATACCCTCCCAACCCCCCCTTCACACACACACACAAATAAGGACCCAAAAAAAAAAGTCACAGGGACACCGAGTGGTAAGAGTCCAGGGTGCAACCACAAAGTACCAGCTAGTCCTGTGGTGTTACACAATCACACACAAACATACACACAGTTGTGAGAGTGTTGAGAGCTGGCAGTTTAGTGAAGTGTGTCCTCAGTGAATTGAAAGAGGTTTCCCCAGCTCTTGTTATCTGTACCTCCTCCTCCTCCTCCTCTTCTTCCTCCTTCATCTTATCACACCACCTGGCATGCTGGTTCTTCCCTGAGTTCTGTACATTCTATTCAGGGCAGTATTTCTTTTTCTCTGACACAAGCACACATGCATTCACGCACAGATGTCTCTCCCTCCGAGTGGGGTAAGTCCATTCTTCCGGTAAACTGTGACACACAGAGTGAGTGTATTGAGGCACCGCCGCTTTCCACCCACAGTGACACCGTCAGGGTAAGGCCTGAAGGGGGCGCTACCAACGGTTAACCAGCCCTGGGATGCAGAGAGGATGAGATCAGTGAGAGACACAGTGTTACAAATCAATGTAACGTACACTGTACTTTGATATATGTGCAGGAAAGGGGTATTCCACTGATTTTACACAATAAAGTTTGATTTACTCGTCACGAGAAAAACACAAGGCTTCTGTGGATCTGGAGGGAGTTTTTGGCAGTGTTCTTGGCCTAGGCTGTAACATTTATTTTCCCAGAATATTGCAGTTAAGTGATTTAGCTACGTATTAATTGGTTCGTTACCATCTGTTTGTCTTGAAGACAAGACCTGACTGCAAGGTGTGGTTAGCATCAGTTCTAAATGGATTGGCAAAATACAAATATCCTTAGTGAAGCTTAATACTGAGCAAGGCAAGAGAAATAATATAATATCAACAAAGACCCAACACGTGTCCTTAATAACTACTGTAAGCTGCAGACATCAGGAATTCATTTGAAATCGTCTATACGCAAGACAAAAAGGCGGATGTTTAGTTTGGTACAAAAGCCGATAGAATTGTATAATAGAAATGAAATTCCCTTTTATATAGACTGGTAAATATCCTTTTGACCTTTAACCCTTTGACCTGTGTTAGATACTCTTTCTCCAAATCCCTCTGTATGTATGTTTACTATTTTTTGGTGTATTTCTGTTTATTGTCTGGAATTGCCCCTTGAGGAACAAATACAGTATTTTAAACTTAATTGAAATACAAACCTGATCTAATCTAGGGACTAAAAGTCTGTACATATCTTGGTTTAAGCTACAGTGGTTTTTAATCTTAGTGAGGGACTCAAACACTAAACATTTAGAGTAACACAGAGCTGTACCAATAAGATCAAAAAGAAGGAAAACAAGGTATATTACAACAAAGTATATTAAAATAGAGCATGTTATATCTATAACTCACGTGTAAAGAGGCTGCAGTTGCAGATGGGAAGACTTCTGAGGAGGCTGGTAGCCGTACGAGTCAAAGCCACCGATGAAATCAACTAAAAAAAGAGAAAGAAATGACATCATTACACTTTCCCTTAAATATGTATTTGTTTTTTGACCAGGTGTTGGTTTCACAGATCAGATTCTATTTTGACGGGAAAACATATTGATGAACAACACCTTTATATCACTGTAATACACTCTGACATCAGAATCTGCACAGATGCCGTCTCACTGCTTCTATGTCACTGATACATCGTTCTAATCTTTCCCGATCAATGTGGAAGGAACAAATATATGTGGTGGCAGCTCAAAGAGAAAATTGTCCCAGATGTTCTGCATCAGTGGAGATTTAGACCATAAGTGAGTGATCTGGTTTGTGATGCGTGATGTGACATTTTAATAATAATATTAATCCTGTGATGTTTTTGTATAGTTGTAATTGCTTCTTCAAAATGTTGAAGAATGAATGTTCTGAGTTTATGAAGCAGAACACCATTTTTTTTAAAAGAAAACAATCCAAAGGGCTGCTTTTCCTAAAAATGTGTTTATGTTATGGTTAATTTAACTGTTTTCCTATCTGTGTGTTATTTTGAATGTATTTCTTAGTTAAAAATGTGAAAAACATCAAATGTTGATTTTTTATTTTGATTACAACCAAAACCATGACAACATTTCTATATATAACTATTAAATACTATGTGTGTGTGAACTTCAAGAATCCAGCATCAGCCGTTACATTGCTTGCTCTTATCATCATCTTTTCCCATCAGCACTTTGTTTTCACGTGCATATTATTCTGACAAAGCGTGCTGTTTGGACATGACACTTCCTTTTACAGGAAATGCATATGTCGTATTGTAACTAAAGGACCTAATTTACTTCATTAAGTGAAACATTGATGTGAGCACCATGAGGAGATTAAGCATTCCAACACACAGATGGCAGAGACAAGCACATGCCAGCAGACAGACTCCTTGAATCTTCTGACACATATCTCTAATATTCCCACAGATAAAGCGGTCAGATCTCCGAGAGGGAATTCTCTGCTGTGATTTAGCTCCGCATGAGCCGGCAGGAGAAGACAATGAGATAATAGCACTCACATCCAAAGTTGTGTATCGTTAACACAAACCCCCCTCCAGAGAATGACACAAGTAAACCTGATCGGCTGAACAAGGCGCTGGAGGAGGATCAACAAGCTTTTAGGAGAAGATAAGAGCACTCACAGCTGTCCTCGTCATCCTGGAAGACTTTGCTCACGTAGCAAGCGTAGACAAAGCCAAAGAGCTGTTAGAGAAGAGAGAGGCTGCAATTAAATGACTGCTGCTGTACAGACTGAGTCACAGCTGACTAAAGTGTGTGTCAATAAAGGGTCAACAAACAAAAATACTGTTAAATAATGTTTAGAAACTGTAGTATTTTTACAGGGTAAAATCGGTAAAGCTTCTTAAAAGCATTTTTCAACCAATTTCAAGGTACCTAAACCATTGATGGAACTTTGGTCATCACATCTCAAATGAATACATAAAGGCTATTGCAAAAATAAAAGTCTGGTAGGTTTGATTTACTTGAGTCATCAGGTGCAGGATGCTAGCAATATTTTTGCTTTACATGAGTGATTGTGAGGATGCAAAAATCCAGCATTTCTGTAGGACAGCATTCAAATTCAAGCATTTTCCTATCTTTGGACAAACATAACGTTTTAAATTAAACATTTTGAAAACTTCCAAGACTTTGTATGAACCCTGTGTGTGTGTGTGTGTGTGTGTGTGTGTGGTGTGTGTGTGTGTGTGTGTGTGTGTGTGTGTGTGTGTGTGTGTGTGTGTGTGTGTGTGTGTGTGTGTGTGTGTGTGTGTGTGTGTGTGTGTGTGTGTGTGTGTGTGTGTGTGTGATACGTACAGCCAATAGGACCTGAAAGGCTGAACTCAACACCTCTATGTATTGGTAGTCGAGGAGACACCCGGACACAGTGATGACATGGTGGTCGTCAGGGGCCATGTTGGAGTCCAGCACGGGCGTCACCAGGCAACCAGGACCATGCTCCATCCACCACGAGCGATGAAGGGATGTGTTGAACGTCATGAGAAAGTCCCTGTCCTGAACATGTGCACACATACATACACATATATAAAAACATGGCTACAGATAAGGGTTATTCTCATGGTTGAGTGATTAACTAATATGGATATATTTTAACAGTGTATTTATATTTCTTCTTTACTCTGTTTAATATCATATTAAACTGAATATCTCTGGATTTTTTGTACAAACAAAACACAACTTTTTCAAACATTGAAAGACCTAGGACTTTGAGAAACTGGGATGGAATTTGTTGAGTATTTTCTGATATTTCTAAGTCTTCCAAATTGTATCTCTTGACCACGAAAATAATCTGTAACTAAGTAATAATCTAACTCTAGACAGATGGAATAAAGCACATATTGCGTTACACAATCAGAACGACTGAACTCACCTGTGACAGGTTTCCAACCTCCAGGTAGAAACAGATAATGAACGAGTTCCAGCCCACCCAAAGGACCAGCCATACTGCATACTGCCAATCAGATACAGGGATCACTTTCTGCACACTCATGCAATATCAATTTAAAGTAAACAATAGCTTTGTGCATCTTTGGAAGGGGGGGGGGGAAATACTCACAAAGATAAGGTATCTGAAGCGAAACTGCACGGTGCCGAACATGCCCAGGATGACGGCCATAATGTGCAGGAAGTTGGCGAGGATGGGGGCCCATTGATAGCCCATAAAATCAAACACCTGCCTCTGAAGGGCTGCCACCTATGGGACAGTGGGAGGGGTCACGCACACATTAGAAAAAAGACATTACACACACAAGCGAGGATATATGCAAATTAAACACATGGTGAAACACACACACAGTGACAGGGACACACATACACAGGTCTGCCGCAGTTGTTTCCATGGTAACTGCCTGGAGCACCAGCCAGTCCAGTGACTGTAAAAGAGGAGCAACCCCCTAAAAGCGCCCCCAAACTAATGAGGATCTATGGGCCGAGTGAATCCCCCTGCCTCCCCACAACTCATCAGCACAGCAAACAATAGCCGGGATAACTAGCCCTCACACTGCTGTGCTCCATCATTCTAGAGAAATAGGCTAGCTGATACCATCTCACATTATTACACTTATTATGTTTTAGAGGGATAGTCAAGCTATTTGTAGCCACAAGACATAGCTAACTTTAACTCCAGAATGGAGGCCAGATGGTGAACAGGGCCTCCTTATCCCATCTCAACATTCACATGTGTTTTTGCCAGAATGGGGCTATCACCCCTCTCTCTACTACAGACATACCATGCCCTGACACCAAAGCACCCCACGTACTTCAAAGACACACACACACCCTCGCCTGTAATGTGGCATGGCACCAGCAGCTGCAACTCTAAGCATTTGTAATGTGACTGTACACACAGGCTGGACAGAAATTGATTACAATGTTCGTGTGTTGTGCGTGTGTCTGTAGCACGCTGCTCCAATTATATCATCATGGTGAGTGAGTGATTAGAGAGGCAGCTTTGACAAACAAACACACACACACACACACACACACACACACACACACACACACACACACACACACACACACACACACACACACACACACACACACACACACACACACACACACACACACACACACACACACTATATGTATACACACACTCACCAACTGCAGTGAACATATCACCAGCAGCGTACATCGTCCGTCGCACTTCCCCATCTTGGAGGGCTCGGGACGCGGCATGGAGCCCCGGAGGCTCCGGGGGAAGGACGGGTCGCTGGTCAGATCCAGACTGCCTGGCGGTATCAGCTCACAACATTCCCGGCTGAATAGACCTGCCTAAGGCCGCCGCCTCCTCCTGTAGCGTCGGTGTGGCCCTTTTCTCACAGCGAGTGACCCATCTTGGCAGTTTTTTTTGTTGTCAGTAAATATACCAATTACGAGCAGAGAGGAAGAAGAGGGGGGGGGCGTCACTTCACACCGGCCTGCTGCGGTCCGACCACCACCGACAACCGAATCACCTCGGCCACACCTTCCGGAGAGAGGACACACAAAGACACAAAGAGAGACGGAAAGCTGTCATAATCTGCCCCGGGGTATAGACAGAAATTAGCATCATATGATATCGGATCACACGGGGGGGGCGGTGGGGAGGAGGGGACCGACCCCGCGGTGTTACTACACGGCTAGCGTTGGGCTACACGGACACAAAGCAGCCCGTTGTGACTCACGGTTTTCTAGGAGAGGAAGAGTCCTTGTGCCCCCTTTAAACCTCGTCGTCCCGACCTCCGTCTCCTGTAACTGGAACTAGTTACCGGGCGGATCTGTTCACCAGCACCGGGCACCGAGCTCCGTCTCGCAGCGTCTTTTGTCAACAATCGGTGCCGGGGCAGGCGCAGGAGGAGCCGGGGGGAGAGAGAGAGACGAGGGGGTGAGAGAGAGAGACGAGGGGGTGAGAGAGAGAGACGAGGGGGTGGGGGCTCTCAGTCACCGCGACCCCCTCGAGGAGGAGCTGCATGGATTCTGCAGACCCGCGTGCGTGACTGCGCGTGGCCGAGCAGCAGCCCCGCGAGGCGTTCGGAAAAAACCGAACACAAAAGAAACGGGGGCTCGTGGCGGTGGTTCAGACAGCCGAAAATAACTGTGATCGCCTCCCACTCCCGTCCGAGCAGAGAGAGCAGCCCGCCGCTCGTCTCCTCGGGCAGCGGTTATTCAGAGCGAAAGAAACATAATTAACAGCCGTGTTTAATCCCAGCTACTTAATTTGCGAGGCGAGCAGTGCGATAGTCTTACAAAGTTAAGATATGATGAACAGTCAGATAATTACCGCTTAGTCGGTTATCACAAGGCCATATGACAATCAATGGAAAATGAGTTATCACATTTTCGTTTACTTACGCATAAGGCTTTCTCAAATAAAAACGAGTAAGCAGTTAAAACATTTTGTCATTTCTCTGCACTGTATGTAACTACTTCTCATTTTGTTTGAGTTAAATATTGTAACTGTCAATTTCTCCACCCTATGTAGCTCAAAGCACTGTGAACTGCCTGTGTTTAAAAGGTGCTAAACAAACGTGTCCTTGCCCCTTTCTAATAGGCTGTGTGAAGTGACCCACACATTTAAAGCCCTACTTAGTTGAGTAATCATGTTCATTGTGCAATTAAACAGCTGTCACATGCCAGAAATTATACACAGTGCTAATTAAACTGACTTAATGTATTACAACTAGATAGATATTTTAAATATTGTAAATATCAGTTACCTGTAAGAAGTGCACCATATCCTGCTGCTGCATTTCAACTCAAACGTTGTCTTTTTACCAAACAACTTATTTATAAGCCCTCAATATCGAAGTATTTAATTATTACCACTGTCAAGTAATTGTAATATAGTCAGAGCAAAGGCACAATGCTTTCTTTAGAAGTAGAATTGGATTAATTATATTAAATAACATTTTCTATATGTATCTCTACATTTTTGCTAATGTTGGCCCATGCTTTGACAACAGCAATCAGGCAAGCATTTGTTTGTATTCTGCCGACAAACAAATAACCACACACACAATTCATAAACTCCTTGGTGGAGAAAAAACGATTTTACCACAGGAATGGCCCACAATGACAAATGAATCCCACAAACAGTTTTTACAGAATACTCAAGTTTATTAAAAAGAAACAATTCAGAATAAAAAAAACAAGTCGTTGTTTTGACCAATGATCAACTTCAAACACACGTCCTGAGGTTGTTCTTTGACAAGCTGAAGCACATGAAATTACAGAGACTCCAAACCCACTGTCGGACACCACCCATCCACTTCTTAAGCAGGACACTCACACACACAGACACACACTCATCCAGGTGAACAAACTCTCACACTCCCTACTGAATTTCTCCCATGTAGAGCCTTTTATCACTGGCGCCAGACAGTACTGTGAATAGAGACAAAGAGAAAAAGATGATTAAACTTTTATTGTCAGTTGTGTTCTGAAACTAAGCCTTAGGTGAACAAATACACACATACAAAATAAGTGTTGGGTGAAAACCACATTTTAGCTAAACCACAAGAATATTAAAATATTATTCCCTTTAGATCCCCTGACTATCTTCTTAAGAAAACTGCAAAAAGTCTTTCAACATCTCTATTCCACACTAGGAACTGTGTTTTCTTTTTTTTAAAATGCATAACCGTTGCTTTGTTTAGACCTAGTGTCCACAAATATCTTGCATTTTCGTAACACTGAAACAGAGACTACGGAAAACGCTGATAAACACGTTTTAGTTTGAAAACTTCAGTACTGCGTTGGATGGGCTGAAACTGAGACTTTTGAAAATGATGATGCAGAAACTCGCTCGCTGCCGGACTGAACTTATTGGTCACAACGTCTGCTTTCCAGATTCGATAGCTGACATAACATTACCTTTTTCCTGAAAGAAACTAACAACATTACCATCGACTACATGTTGTCAATTCAACATGTATTATTAATTAACGGGGTTGTCCACCTTGTTGACTATTCTAGCAGTCGTTGTGAAAGTCTGGATTATGTAGTGCTACTACAGCCTACATGTGCAAGAGGAAAAACTATTATTCTAACGCACATGCCCAGTGTAACAAAATGGTCATGTGATTCTAAGTTTTTAGGCATGTTAGTCCGGAAAGAGATTATAAATGAAGCGGTGCTAATAAACTCACCTTGATAAATATAGTTTGCATTTGAAAAGGAAAATGTGTTGTTGTCAATGCATCCTAAAGTAGTGACTGACTCACCTATAGGCTCCTCTGGGTGAAAGGCGACTTCGTTGACGGAGCCGGCATGTCCCGGCAGCTTGTACAGGATTCTGCGTGATGTGGTATCCCAGATGTACACAAATCTATAAACACAGACAAGAAAAACAGCTGGAATGACTCCTGACCTAAGACAGCTGAGACATTGGACGGACACTGAAGGATTTTCATATTTTTGTTACAATACATCATGTGCTATGTTGTTGTATCAAGTTGTGCTGTTGAAGGTGGATTAAAAGAAGTTGAAAGAGTCAAATTGCATCGAGAATTACAGCTTGACAGCAATCTAAGATGGAAATTAAGTAAGTAATTATTATAAGTGCACATTTACACAAGTGAGTTTAGTGCATGCTAATGTCTTATCTTGAATTTAGTTTAATAGAAGCACAATCTCTAGAAATACATGTAAATGTACTGTAATAATGACGATTATACAAATGTCTATGTGTGAGAGTTTGTTTGTTTGTGTTGCCTCACCTGTCAGCTGAGCCGGCAGCTATCTTACTGCCGTCAGTAGACCAGGAGCACCTCAGCAAATTCTGAAAGACAGGAAGAGATGTTAGAAACAGCATTGTTATAAGAAGGACAAGAGCATCATGTGCTGTTTATTGCAAGTAAAAAAGTGACATATTTCGATGCCTTTTAGGGAAAAATAATTGTTGCTAGGTGGAACTTTTATTATTCAAATATTTTCCTCAATATATATACCCCCCGGATGGTATTAACAGTGGAAGAACATGTCAGTGCATACAGGTCAGAGTTATTGATGTTACCTTCTCAAAGTTGTGAACGTTGCCCTGGAAAATCTTCACACATCTCTCCTTGGGTGCAAATGGTCGAACATCCCAAATACGCACTACACAGAGGAATTAAAGAAAGCAAAATGAAGCATCTGGCCATTGCAATGACACTCTTATAAGCTTAAGAAAATTATTTTTGTTATACAAATAAACATCTTACCTGTGTTATCCATGGAGTTTGAGAGAAGGTATGATCCCTCAGAGCTCAGACTGAGTCCAGTCACTGAGTCACCGTGGCCGTGCATATTGTAGATCAGCTTGTTCTGCCTCAGGTCCCACACCTGCACAACATAGAAACAGCTGATGACGGAGTTCAAGCCACAGGACATACAGATTACACGCCTATATGTAAAGAACACAGATTATAATTATAATTTTCCTTATTGAGGTTGAAATCCAGGGGCAAGTGGAAAAACTAAAACATTTTCTTATAGCACATGAAATTGCAATTCCCAGGTTTTCTGTGTATGCTGTAGGCCAGTACCTTGATGTCATTGTCGATGCCTCCTGAAAGGATCTGATCACTGGTGTCATTGAATGTCGCAGCGAGCACCTGGTAGGTGTTCTGGAAAGTGTGGATCGCCCCTTTCTTACGGATGTCCCACAGCTACAACAGTGACAAACACATGTAGGAAGATTAACAGGAGCCTGATCAAATGGACTGGGGTACTTGAGATAAATTAAAGACCACATAATAAGGGTCTGTTAATGAGACTTGTGAGAGAGGATATCAAAATGAAATGAAATATCATCCAATTCAACAATTTATTATTATACCTTGACGGTCCCGTCATCACTGCCGGTACAGACGAGTTGGGGCCCTCGACGGGCTGGGTAACAGGTGTTAACGAAGGAGGTGTGGCCCTTCAGGCGCTTGATTCTCTCTCCAGTTTCACTGTCCCACACTCCTACAGTCTTGTCTGTGCTCGCTGAAAACAGCATGCTGAAATACAGGGCAAGAAAACACAGTTTGACACATTTATCCACCTTATTGACCATGAATTAGGAAGCATGGGTTTGACACATCTCTTGCCAGTAACCTAAGCCAAGTGATACATTTAACAAATGGAACGTGTGTAATCACGTCCAATTGTTTACAAGAACTAGATTAAATAGTTAATTTAGCTTTGAAGGTGGTTTTGCAAGGTAAGGAGTAAGTTGACTTGTATTGAATTAAATCTCCCCTTGAACTATAGTGTTTATTCTGAGGTTATGCTTTAGAATATATCTTAGAATTGTACTTAATCTGTGATCGTTCCTACCTGCCATCTGTGTTGTAGTGCAGTTCCATCACTGCTCCACTGTGGCCCTTCATCGTGGCATAATTGTCACAATCTCCGTACACATTCCACATCACTGCAGCAGAGAAACACAGTTTACAACACGTTATTCACAGTAACTGAAATATGTTTGTAAGTTTAACCAAGGACGTGTGAGCCTCAGGATTTTAAATATCTTACAAATGAGCCTATCAAATCCCGAGGAGGCCAGCGTGGATCCGTTGGGGTGAAACTTGCAGCAGTAGACCTCGCCCTCATGACCAGACATCAGCATAATGGGAGCCTGCAGGCTGGAGGACCGTGGAGGACCCTATGGGAGATGAATTAAAGGTCAATATATATGATTAATTTAACATCAGCATTACAGCCCAATAATAAATTAACAGTTGTAAATGTTTTCAGCATAAAATGTGTCAACTAATGAATAACCACACATTTCAGTACAGAAAAAAACAAAGATATATTTGAAGCTATTCAAAAACAATCTGTCTTACATAGACTTTCTAGGCCAGTTATGTAACAAAACAAATAGGACATGTGTCATAGGCTTTTGTTTTAGCTAATACTATGTATTTTGACCCCGAAGATTCATAATGGCTGTGCTATGTTGAGCATCAATAGTTTTCCATAATATGTAATTGGTTAAGTTGTACAGTTGAT